AGGTCAACAGGGGTATGCTGCTGTGGAGTCATCACTCCAGGGGACTCCACAGCTGGATGGATATCACTAGGGAAATTCTTCTGATGGCTGTGTACAGAGTGTGCACGCATATTGGAATGCACATGAGAAATCACTTGAAGAAAATCTTGTTGCTAACCTGACAAAAATGGATATAAAAATGTTAGTCATCACATTTACTATTTCCACATTCAACTGGGGTATGTCTATACTTGCACACTAGTTTGAACTAGGGATGCAAAGGTAGGCATTCGAAATAGTCAATGAAGCGGGGATTTAAATATCCCGTGCTTCATTAGCATGATTTCGCCGGCACGTTTCGAAACAGCTATTGATCGGAGTAACACGCCGGCAAGATCATGCTGCTGGTGGAATCTCTCAGGCAGCAGGTGGGAGAGCTACAGGAGGAGGTGGCCAGGCTGAGGAGCATTCGAAGCCATGAGGAATTCCTGGACTGTATTCCTGTGGAGTCCACGGAGGTCACTGTCCTAGGATGTGGGACTGTTGACCAGCCACTTATGGAGGAGGCGGTGGTGCAGGGTGAGAACTGGCAGCTGGTTACTTCCGGCAGCAGGCAGTGTTCCACCCCTGCTCCTAACCCTCCCACTGTGTTGTTACATAACCGTTACACTTTACTTTCAGCAGAAGACAAGGAGTCACCCCCCACAGTGGAGGAGACCAGGCCTTGCACCACCAAGGTTGAGCAGTCTCCTGCCACCACTGCGAGGAGGAAACGTAGAGTAGTGGTGGTTGGAGACTCTCTTCTGAGGGGAACGGAGGCACCCATCTGTCGCCCTGACAGCTCATCTCGAGAGGTATGCTGTCTGCCAGGGGCCCGTATCCGAGATGTTACGGAGGCATTGTCGAGGATTATCCGGCCCTCTGACTACTACCCCATGCTACTCATCCACGTGGGCACAAATGATACTGCCAGGTGTGACACTGAGCAGATCAAGTGTGACTACAGGGCTTTGGGAGTACGGGTGAAGGAGTTTGGAGCGCAGGTGGTATTCTCTTCTATCCTTCCTGTCAAAGGTAGGGGCCCGGGCAGAGAGAGGTGCATCCTGGAGGTGAATGCCTGGCTGCGACGATGGTGTCGCCAGGAGGGATTCGGCTTCCTTGATCACGGGGTGCTCTTCCAGGAAGGACTGCTTGGCGGAGATGGAGTTCACCTTTCCAGGAGCGGGAAGGCCTTGTTTGGACACAGACTGGCTAACCTTGTGAGGAGGGCTTTAAACTAGGTTTGTCGGGGGCAGGTGAGCAAAGCCCACAGGTAAGTGCTGAATGTGCGGGACTGGGAGATGGGTTGGAAATGGGGGGGACTACGGCCTATAATGGCAAGGAGAAAGGAGGGTCAGGGCACAACGGCTGAGTTTGGAAGCAGAGAGAGCAGGGGACACTGCCCCCCTAGTCTTTTAAAAGAAGAATGAACAGTTCTTCCCTGTTCATGTTTTTGTTTCTTCAACAGGGAAGAGTGGGCAGGTCTAAGACAAACATGCTGAGCACATTCTGTCAGGAAGGACAGACAGGGAAAAAAGGGAGGAGGGGTTGCCTTGTATATTAAAAATGTACACACTTGGACTGAAGTGGAGATGAACGTAGGAGATAGCTGTGTAGAGAGTCTCTGGGTTAAGCTAAAAGGGGTAAAAAACGAGGGTGATATCATGCTAGGAGTCTACTACAGGCCACCTAGCCAGGTGGAAGAGGTGGATGAGGCCTTTTTTAAACAATTAACAAAACTATCCAAAGCCCAAGATTTGGTGGTGATGGGGGACTTCAACTATCCAGACATATGTTGGGAAACTAACACAGCGAGGCACAGGCTATCCAATAAGTTTCTGGACTGCATTGGAGACAACTTTCTGTTTCAGAAGGTTGAAAAAGCTACCAGAGGAGAAGCTGTTCTGGATTTGGTTTTAACAAATAGGGAGGAACTAGTTGAGAACTTGAAAGTGGAAGACAGTATAGGGGACAGTGATCATGAAATAATAGAGTTCATGATCTTAAGGAAAGGTAGAAGGGAGACCAGCACAATTGAGGTTATGGATTTCAGGAAGGCAGATTTTGATAAGCTCAGAGAACTTGTAGGTAAGGTCCCATGGGAAGCAAGACTGAAGGGAAAAACAACTGAGGAGAGTTGGAAGTATTTCAAAGGGACGTTGTTAAGGGCCCAAAAGCAAACAATTCCGCTGTGTAGGAAAGATAGAAAATATGGCAAAAGACCAGCTTGGCTTAACAAGGAGATCTTGCATGATCTCAAAATAAAAAAGGAGTCATATAAAAAATGGAAACTAGGACAACTAACAAAGGATGAATATAGGCAAGCAACACGGGAATGCAGGGGCAAGATTAGAAAGGCAAAGGCACAAAATGAGATCAAACTAGCTACAGGCATAAAGGGAAACAAGAAGACCTTTTATAAATACATTAAAAGCAAGAGGAAGACCAAGGACAGGGTAGGCCCACTGCTTAGTGAGGAGGGAGAAGCAGTAACAGGGAACTTGGAAATGGCGGAGATGCTCAATGACTTCTTTGTTTCGGTCTTCACCGAGAAGTCTGGAGGTGTGCCTAACGTAGTGAATACAAGCAGAGAGAGGGTAAGTTTAGAAGATAGGATACACAAAGAACAAGTTAAAAATCACTTAGGAAAGTTAGATGTCAGCAAGTCACCAGGTCCTGATGAAATGCATCCCAGGATACTCAAGGAGCTGATAGAGGAGGTATCTGAGCCTTTAGCTATGATCTTTGAAAAATCATGGCAGACAGGGGAGATTCCAGAAGACTGGAAAAGGGCAAATATTGTGCCCATCTATAAAAAGGGGAATAAGAACAACCCAGGAAATTATAGACCGGTCAGTTTAACGTCTGTCCCAGGGAAGATAATGGAGCAGGTAATTAAGGAAATCATATGCAAACACTTGGAAGGTAATAAAGTGATAGGGAATAGCCAGCATGGGTTTGTGAAGAACAAGTCATGCCAAACTAATCTGATAGCTTTCTTTGATAGGATAACGAGCCTTGTGGATAAGGGAGAAGCGGTGGATGTCATATACCTAGACTTTAGTAAGGCATTTGATACGGTCTCGCATGATATTCTTATTGATAAACTAGGCAAATATAACTTAGATAGGGCCACGATAAGGTGGGTGCATAATTGGCTGGATAACCGTAGTCAGAGAGTTGTTGTTAACGGTTCTAAATCCTGCTGGAAAGGGATAACAAGTGGAGTTCCTCAAGGGTCTGTTTTGGGACCCGTACTGTTCAATATCTTCATCAATGATGTAGATATTGGGATAGAGAGTACTCTTATTAAGTTTGCAGATGATACCAAACTGGGTGGGGTTGCGACTTCTTTGGAGGATAGGGACATAATTCAGAATGACCTTAGCAAGTTAGAGAAATGGTCAGAGGTAAACAGGATGAGGTTTAATAGAGAGAAATGCAAAGTGCTCCACTTAGGAAGGAACAATCAGTTCCATACATACAAGATGGGAAGCGACTGTCTAGGAAGGAGCATGGCGGAAAGGGATCTAGGGGTCATAGTGGACCACAAGTTGAATATGAGTCAACAGTGTGATGCTGTTGCAAAAAAAGCAAATATGATTCTAGGTTGTATCAACAGGTGTGTTGTAAGCAAAACTCGTGAAGTCATTCTGCCGCTCTACTCTGCGCTAGTTAGGCCTCAGCTGGAGTACTGTGTCCAGTTCTGGGCGCCACATTTCAAGAAAGATGTGGAGAAATTGGAAAGGGTACAGAGAAGAGCGACAAGAATGATTAAAGGTCTAGAGAACATGACCTATGAATCCAGGCTTCATGAACTGGGCTTGTTTAGTTTGGAAAAAAGAAGATTAAGGGGGGACATGATAGTGGTTTTCAAATATCTAAAAGGGTGTCACAAGGAGGAAGGAGAAAATTTGTTCCTCTTGGTTTCTGAGGACAGGACATGGAGTAATGGGCTTAAAGTGCAGCAGGGGAGGTTTAGATTGGACATTAGGAAAACATTCCTAACTGTCAGGGTGGTCAAATATTGGAATAAATTGCCAAGGGAGGTGGTGGAATCTCCCTCTCTGGAGATATTTAAGAACAGGTTAGATAGACATCTGTCAGGGATGGTGTAGACGGAGCTTGATCCTGCCTTGAGGGCGGGGGGCTGGACTCGATGACCTCTCGAGGTCCCTTCCAGTCCTATTATTCTATGATTCTATGATTCTATAATGAAGCACGGGATATTTAAATCCCGGCTTCACGGATTATTTCGAATGCCTACATTTGGCATTCACATAACCCTTGTTAACTAGCAATGCTGCCATTTATCAACAAGTCCACTATATTACTGGCTTCTTAATTCCTAACAAATATTCCTAAATTCCTTATACATTATTCAGTTCCACAGACTTTTTCACTGGGGTGACTAGCACAACTGTTATTCTGTCATATGTTTTCAGATTCAATGTTACTAATCTCATTAGAGTTCAGTGAGTTTCCCTCACCCCACTATTTACATGTTTTTTTTAAAAAAAAAAAGTAGCCCTATAGCACCTTAGATTAACACAGAGAGAAAATATCATGAACTTTCATGGGGAAAACCTACCTCCTCAGATGAGAGTGAGTTTTGCCCTCAAACTCATGATACAACACACACACACACACACGGTTTTGATTCGAACTAACGCGGCCTGGAGCGCACTTCCTGGTTCGAATCAGCTGGCGAGCGGAATAACGCGCGGGTGAGATTATGCTAATGAAGCACAGGATATTTAAATCCTTGCTTCATTAACAATTTCGGTCTCCTGCATTTGCATCCCTCTCTCGAGATAGGGAGCAAGTGTAGACGTACCGTAAGGTGCTACTGGACTATTTTTTTAAATTACCGACTAACATGGCTACCCCCTAGGACTTATTTACTTGTAGTAATTGCTCATCTGAAGGACTGCTATATACAGTGACAAGTTGTAAAGATTATAGCAGAATGCATTGCTGACCTTGAATAATAATATCCTCAGTTAACATGGAGAGGTTTGCAGCCTTATATTCGCCTGGGAAAATGACCACATTATCACCACTGTAACAGCTATCCAAAGCCATGTTTAAATCATCATGTTGTTGAAGCAGCGTATCGACAGCAAAATCTTTAACCTGTACAGGAAAGAGGGAGCAGCAAAAAACAGTTACCTATCTTTTGTAATTGTTGTTCTTCAAGATGTGTTGCTCATGTCCATTCCAAGCAGATATGTGCGTGTCTCATGCACAGTTATTGGAAGGTTATTCCCCTAGTAATACCTGTCAATCAGCTGTGGAGCCATCTGGAATAGCCTTCTAAAAAACTGTACAGAGGTTCCGATGTCAATGCCTTGAGTTCAGAAACTCACCTAGCTGATGTGATCGCTACTAGAAAAGGTACTTTCCACGAGAGATGCAGAAGGGAACATGTAGCTAAAGGCTCAAAAGGCAGTGCCATTAATTTAGATAACACCAGATTAAGGACCCATTGAGCGACCAACTGCCTAAAATGACGATACAGACCCTGGCCAAACCCTTCAGAAATCAGACCACTGGTTCCATAAATACCACATGGCCAGCTGATCCAGGATAAAAGGCTGTGATGGCTGCCAAGTGCCTCTTACCAAGGTCATCTCACTGTGTTATATGAAAGAGAGAGAGTCTACCACCGGAATAGATATCTCTGTCAGCTGTGTGCCCTTTTGGAGTGACCAGACAGAAAAACTTTTCCTTTTGTAAGTGCAGGTGGCACACACAGAAAACTTTCTGCTGCCCAGTAGAATCTTTTTCACCTCAGATGAACATGCCATCTAATGTGGATTTAACCACAGAGCGTCCAGTCTGTGAGATGAAGTGACTCCAGGTTGGGATGCTGCAGGTGGCCATGATCTTGAGTGAGCAAATCCAGAAACAGGGGCAAGAGGAGAGATGTGTCCACTGATAGCTGGAACAGGATGAAAAACCAATGCTGCCTGGGCTGTGCAGGGGCTACCATAACTGATGCTCTGTCTTGGCATAATTTGACCAGGACCTTTTTGGATGAGGGATGGAGGCAGAAAGGCGTAAAATAGGCTGCCCTTCCATGGTATGAGGAAAGCCTCCAATGGGGAACCCAGTCTTTGGCCCAGGAAGGAACAAAATCTGTGGCATTTCCTATTCTAGTGAGCTGTAAACAGGTCCACCTGAGGAAACCCTTACTTCTGGAAAATCAACCCAGTTACGTTGGGGCAAAGCAACCATCATGCCAATGGAAAGAGTGGCTAAGGTGATCTGACAACTTGTTGACACCCATTAACTATGAGGCCTCCAGGTGTATGTCGTGAGCAATGCAAAAGTTCCACAGCTTAACGGCCTTTCAACACAGCATGGAGTAAGTTCTGCCCTGCTTGTTTACATAAAATATTGTTGTGGTGTCTTTCATTAACACTGAAATATGATTGCCTGGAGGTGAATGCAGAACATCGTGCAAGCCAGACAAACTACCCGGAGTTCTTTGTTGTTGATATGCATCAGGATCTCTGTAGAAGTCCAGAGGCCTTTCATCTGGAAATTGTCTAAATGGACACCCCCAACCTATTGCTGACAGGTCTGTGACTAGGATTAATGTTGGTTGTGGACATTCCATGGATCCAGACACCACCGAAGAGAAGTGAGAATCTGAGGAGAAATGGTGGCTACCAAGTCCAATCAATCCTGACTTGGTCTGTACACGTGGACCAAGGATGTTTGCAGAGGCTGGAGGCAAATTCTGGCATGTTGCACAACATAAGTGCAAGATGACATGTGACCCAAAAGCCTGAGGAGCTTCTGGACCCAAAATAGGAGGCTCTGTATTAGCACACTCATTGTGAGGAAGCAAGCTTGAGAAGAGAGCCCTGGCCTGAATTAGAGTTGATTTTTGTCAAGTTTAGAGTGAGGCCTAGCCTGCGAAAGGTTGATTGCACCCTGTGCAGATGATCTTCAACATGAACATGCAAATTGCCCTTGACGAGCCAAGTAGAAATACACTTGGACACCGCTCTGCCGTAAATAGACTGCTACAATAGCCATATATTTTGTGAATACCTGAGTGGCAGCAGAAAGATCAAAGGGGAGGATCATGAATTGGTAATGCCCCTGTCCCACTAAAAAACAAAGAAAATGCCAGTGAGATGGAATTATGGCAATATGGAAACAGGAGTCTTTCAAATCGAGGGCAGCATACCAGTTGCCAGGATCCAGAAAAGGTATAATAGAGGCTAGGGGATACAGTTCCTAAACCTCAGCTTATTTACAAAGTGGTTAAAGTTGCAGAGATCTAAAATAGGCCAAAGGCCTCCCTCCTTTTGCATTGGAGATCAGAAAAGAATGGTAATAGAAACCCGTGCCCCTGGACTCTGGAGGGACCTCTTCCACTGCTCCCAACTGTAGGAGTAAAAGCACCTCCTGGACTAGGAGCTGCTTGTGAGAGGGATCTCTGAAGAGGAACAGAGAGGGTGGGTTGGAAGGAGGGAAAGAAGAAAACTGAAGAGCATATCCCAGTTCCATCATGCTTAAGACCCTGTGGCCTGAAATTATATGGGTCCAAGTCCACAGGGATAATTGGTTCCCAAACATGCGAATAGGACAGCCTAATCATGGCAAGCTTACCCTATGATGGCACCAAAGTGCTAGCCGAGACCAGTCTTAGGGTACGTCTAGACTACATGCCTCTGTCGCCAGAGGCAAGTAGATTAGGCTACCAAGCATAGGAAAATGAAGCGGCAATTTAAATAATCGCCGCTTCATTTAAATTTACATGGCTGCCACGCTGAGCCGATCAGCTGTTTGTCGGCTCAGCGCGGTAGTCCGCGCGGGTGTCGACATCAAAGGCATTTGTCGACCACCCAGGTAAACCTCATCCCAGAAGGCATACCTGGGTGGTAGACAAATGCCTTTGATGTCGACACCTGCGCGTCCATGCCTTTGATGTCGACACCCACGTGTCCAGACTACCTGAGCCAACAAACAGCTGATCGGATCAGCGCGGCAGCCATGTAAATTTAAATGAAGCGGCGATTATTTAAATCGCCGCTTCGTTTTCCTATGCCTGGTAGCCTAATCTACATGCCTCTGGTGACAGAGGCATGTAGTCTAGGATGTACCCTTAGTGATCACACTTGGAGACAGGGAGCGCTGGGCCAACATATCTATAAAAGCCTGAGCCGCTTCAAAAGTCTCTGGGGTGGATGGCATGTCCAAATCCCCAATCTGGCTACTCCTTGATGGGGAGTCCAAGGGCACCAGACTCCATGGCTCCTCAGGCAGTGTGGAAGTTGGTGGTGCCTGAGGTGGCAGTGCGGGCTTGTGGGGAGGCCTTCCCTATAAAATGTCCGAGCACGGGGGACACTCCTTTGGCCTTATCGGCTTTGATGGACAATCTTCCTCGCTTGAGACGCTGCTTTTATGCGTTAAAAACAAGTGTGGCTGGTGCCCTGAAGATATCCCTGTAGCTCTTGCAACAGGAGAATGTCGGTGCCGAGCCTGGGTGGTGGGTGAAGATAGGGCTGGGGGAGACAAGGCTGACTCCACCAGGAGGACTTTTAGCCTGAAGTCCTTTTCTTTTTTAGTTCTGGGACAAAAGCCTTTGCAAATCTTGCACTGTTTGGTGCTCCTCACCCAGGCATTTAAGGCAAGATTTGTGTGGATCTCTCATGGGCATAGGCTTCTAACAAGCACACAGCTTGAAGCCTTGGGACTGAGGCATGTCCTGGTCCTCAAGGCAGGGAGGACAGGATTACTCCCACTATCTAATTACAACACTAACCAAGAACTAACAATAAAACTCTGTTTACAACTATTTACACTATAAAGCTAAGGGAAAATGCTTCCTCGAGGCAAGAGACTTGAAAGACAGTCACTTGTGGAAAGAAGGAACTGAGCGGGGGTGGAAGAATTAGCAGTGGATTATAGTGGCTATATATAGCATCATAACAGTTCCACTCCAGGGAGGCTCCACAGCAGACCTATGGGTACTGCCAGGGGAAAAACTTGACCACTGTGCACACAACGCATGCACACTTGACTGGAATGGACATGAGCAATCACTGAAACTATACAGTTAAGGCAAAACAAAACCTACCATGAACCTTTTGAATTAACAGCCAATCTTTTGAAATCTGCTGCTGCGATAAGGGGGAAAGGAAAGGCAGAAGGGAAAGGAAACTGAGGAGTGGGAGTTTAGTGAATTATTGCTGTAAGAAGCCATTAATCCAAAGTGTCTATCAGTCCATGATCTTTAGTGACTAGCAAAGATGAATGTAAGCTTCCCAAACCCATTGTTTTAAAGTGGTATGCAGTTTTCCTTTGAGGATGAGTACTGATAGGTCAGATATACAGTGATCGTTTGGTGAAAAACATTCAACCACAGATTGTGTTTTGCCTTCTAGCATTTTTGGTATAAGTTCATCTGAAAGCACAGTGATTGTCTGACTTCACCCACATGTGTATTATTGGGACATTTAATGCATTAGATGAGGTACATGTGTATGACCCAGGGATCTTGAAAGCTGTGGGGGTTGTTGTTAATTATAGCAGAGGAGCTACAGCTGCAGGTTTTGCATTTATTGTTTAACCGTGCCTGGTACCACTTTGAACTGGTATGTTCTAGTCTGTGCTAGGGATGTAAACGATGAATCAACTATTCGACTATCTGATAAGCAAAAGCTTATCAGACAGTCAACACACTAGTTGACTAGTTGCTTCCCCTCCCTTTGCTGCCTCTATTACAGAGGCAGCAAGTGGGGGGACAGAAAAGGATGCTGGAGGAAGCAAGCTTAAAAGTCAGTTTGCCCCAGTTCCAGCTCCGTGGAAGGGGGCAGGAGCACAGTGGCAGACAACTTTGAAATGTAAAAAGAGTCCCTGCTGGAGCTCTTGTACATTTCAAAGTTAGCACCCTGCCGCATGGAGCCCAGGGCCAGTGGAGAATCTCCCACTGACCCCAGGCTCCAGGCAGGTTCTTCCGCTTTGAAATGTACAAGAGCCCCCAGTGAGACTCTTGTACATTTCAAAGTGGAAGCAACCGCGTGGAGACCGGGGTCTACGGGACTCCTCACTGGCCCCAGGCTCCATGCAGCGTTTCAGTCTTTGAAATGCACAAGCGCCCCTGCTGAGGTTCTTGTACATTTCAAAGACGGAACACGGACATCCTTATCGACTAATCGAATAATCGATGGAAATACCATTGACTGTTCAATTAGTTAATTAATCAAAATTTAACATCCCTAGTCTGTGCAGCATTCACTTCTGATGAGCTTGGAGAGGTTGGGGATTTTTGGAAGGTTATATCAGGCATGAAAGAACTTAAATTTCTTACAGGTAGTATCTTATTACAACCCGCTGTCCCCGCTTCGGGGAAGCTCAGGGCAGAGGTCAGGGGGGTTGCAATAACATAGAACCTGTAAAAGATTTAAGTGTGGGGTTGAATGCAGAGGGCTCAGGGAAGAGGGTGGGGGCCAGCACCAGGAAGGCTCAGGGCTGGGACAATCTCCATTGGTAACCCTTGGGTGTGTGTAGGTCAGGGTGGGCAAAAGGGTCTCAGCGGGCCGGATCCAGCAAAAGCTTGGTGGGTCCTGGCTGCCGGCCCTGTGCTCTTGGGGCTTTCCTACCTGCCCTGCATGCTGGAGTCCTGGCTGTTGGACTCAAATTTGGGAGGGGGGGAGAGAGGACAGGATTAAGGCCCGCCCCCAGCCAGCCAGACTCTCTCTTCAGAGCATATTCTGTGATACCTTAGTGCTTGGTGCAGATAACCGATTTCTTTGTTTGGGGTGATTACTGAATCCAGGAAAATAGATATGGTAATCCATGGGTTTGTATTGAAACCAATTGGGGTTCCAGGAAGTTGATGCTAGCATGGGACTGTTCCAGAATTCAAGAGTCAGGTGATGGTGGTTGAAATTGTGGTGGAAATCTATGAGGGAGTTATTGTCCAGAAGATGAAAATATAATTGATGCCTCTCAAGAATATCATAAAGTTTTGTGATGCATTCATGTCAGACAGAACCCTTTAAGATTTAGGATGTATTATGTATAGACAAGCTTCTAGGGGGGCCATAAGTCCCAAGTTTGAGGGTGCTCTAGGAAAGCCTTCCTGAGTGGAGGAGTCTGGTCAACAGTCTTTGAATGTAGGAATAGGAAAGTTGTACATCTGAAAGTCTTTCCACCAATTTAATTAGATGAGGATTCATTGCAGGACCGTGACCATCAAGTTCATGCAGTGTCTGCTGGAAGTCCAACATGACTACAGCATGACTATTGGATTTCCTCAGATAATGGAAAATCCCAAAGTATTTCCATATGCCTTCCAGACCCACAGGTGCTCAACAGATGTACACACCTGGGACAGAAAAGAACACAAGAAACTCCACAGAAAGGAATCAGGGCATCAGCCACCTGGAACTCAGAGCTGTCAAGCTCACCCTCTGACAGTTCCAAAGGAAAAGGGGTCTAAGCAGGTCTGCCTTAATTTACTTACTGAAGGCAAGAATAGAGAAGCTCTGATTACCTCCAGAAACCTATGAAGATTCTGAGGAGTGTTCCCTTTCTCAGAATGAACAAGAAGTATTTTTTTAAAATAACTTCCCCTTTAATTCTTTCCTAATTCTCCAGAGGCATAGTGAACTCATTCAGATATGCAGCTTTTTACTGTTATCTAGAACTTGAAAGAGTTTTGGAATACTGTTCGGTATCTTGCTCAATTCAATCCTGCAGTAGAGTCCACACCTGGAGATGTGGCCAAATACATCTCCTACCAGTGATGGAACAAAAGGAGGCAATGGAAAGGCTAACACTGACATATCTCATTAAAGCAGAATTTCTGGGTGGGATAAAGAACCACTTGAAAGGCGCAAATTAAATGAAGCTGCAAGAACTTAGGAGTGGTAAAAGTAGACTAGGCAGCAAGAGTCACCTTCATCATTAGACGGCTTCTAGTTAATTCCAACACATGAAGTTCCCTCCTGTGGAGACTGAGCATCTTACTTCATGACCTTTATATCCATGGCTGTGGTGTCCACTGGTCTCTAGCTTGAACCTCTCTGGTCCAACAACATCTGTGGCCTACTGGACCACAGAGCCCCAATGATCAGGATTGTTGACAATCCGGCAGGCCAGAGGCAGTGAAACCCAAATGCAAAGGGAGCCCAGCAGGGAGGCTGGCACATACCCTCTCCCTCAGAGACCTCATCTCCCCTGGTCTGGTAAAATCTCTTGTTTGGGACCGATCTGGCACCCTTGAGACCTGAAGGTACAAACTATACTACTATTCCTTCTCTCATTTGGTTTTGTTTAGCATATTTAATCCTTCTGACTCAAAAAACAAAGTCTTCCTTACCATTTCTGCTGTCATTGTTTTAGCTACAATATGAGTTACTGTTTTCTCATCATCTCTGTATCCTCTCCTACGCCTCAGTATTCTTGGGGTCAGAGGTCCATGAGCTCTATAATTTAGAGAAAAATCTAAGTACTATAAGTTTTAGACAAAGAATTTGTTACAGTATGTAAAAAGTTTGACTTGAAAAAATGTTATGCAGAATTTATTACGGATACATGCACTCAAATATCTGTGACAAACATACCGAACATCTCCAACATCACAAAACTTTCAGTGTTAAATGCATAATATGCCAAAGCAGCACATTTGATACTTCCAAATCTGGTGATATAAGACACTTACCACTTAGCTGCCATCTATAAAATTCTATACATTAATGTGTGTCTCAAATTTGGTTTTAGGGTCCTGGGTTTGACCCATGTTTTTTAACACTCTATTTAAACACAGTTCCAGTGTAATCCATTCAAAAAGATTAACTGACCAGTACTGGCAGGCCAAAAAATATTTTAGTGGTTTTCAAAAAAAATCTTCTAGGCTAGATCAACAATTTGACTCCATCTTTTGTTACAACATAATTCCTTTACTATACCAATACCCAATGTGCAAATAGAGTGAACAGACAAAAGCCTACTAAAAAAACACCTCACATATTTCTTAAAATGTAGGTACATCTTAAAGTTTGGTTATGGTTAGAAAAGTGACTCTTCAAATTATCTCTGCAACATATTTTTCCTCCCTCTGTAACTTCCACAATAAACTAGGGATGTGAACATGTACAGAAGGAAGGGTGGCAATGGGAAGCGAAGTCTGCTCTGAAAAGTGATATTGACAAATACCGCTTTTCGTATTGCCACCCTGGCTTCTGCATAACTGTTAGTACCACACTGCTTTCAGAGCTGGGCATATGGCCAGAGGTCACTGCTCTCTGTTCTGCCTTCAGAGCTCAGCAGAGATATATGTACTTATGTGGGGGAGCCATAAATGACTAGTGACACAAAAGAAGGGGGGCACAATTAAATAAGTTTGAGAACCACTGCTATAGAGGCTACCTGAGGCGAAGGTCCTCCCATATTTTCAACAATCCACATAGCATTACTAATTCATAGTATTTTTTCCAACATTCAATAGCTTCTTCTGCTGTAGGTTCTTCCTTAATATTACTTTGAAACTGAATCAATTCCAAATGCATGTTTTTATACTTCTCCAGATTTTTTCTAAAACGTTGACCAATCGGCGTAGGAATAGTCCCATTCTCAATATCACACCACCTGTGAAAATAATAATAAAGTTATGCTTCTGTCATAGGGTGCACAGGCCCCATACTGACAAGGGAGGGGGTACATGAATTATTCTGGACGTAACTGGCCCTGCGTGACTACACCTGCAGCAGATATCAGATATGAGGAAAGGAGTTGAAACTAGTCCCAGCTCAGTCTACACTACAAATTTAGGTTGAAGTTAGATGAGTTAGGTTGATTTGCTAAACAATTAATCTATACCACTGTTTCTCAAAGTGGTCCACGGATCCACTCTGAAAAACCCGCTAACCGGCCACTCCGGTGTGTTTATTTACTGGCTCAGCAGCCACAGAGCCTCACGGCTTCCCTTGGCTCCAGTTCATTGTTTGCAGTCAAGGGCTGGCACAGGAAGCAGTGTGGGCTGGGCTTCCGGGATAACTACTGGCATCTCCAATGGTAATTTTCAGGGAAGAAAGTTCTATCTTGCAGCTTTCTGAAGAGACCGGAGTTTGTAAAGATGCACTCATCGTGCACCTTTTCCGACCATCCCATGTCAATGTGATCCATCAGCGCTTGAAAAAGCCATCCAGAAATACCCCTTGTGGTTCATGTACTCTTTGGCAAAGCAGTCTAGTGCCAAGATAGAGAAATGTGTGCCATATATCAGCCCACTACAGTTAGGGAACAGCACTGCAGCAAAACCATCCACTATGTACTGTTTTCCAGGGTCACTATACCTCTTAGCATAAGATTACTGATTGCCTTGGCTACTTGGATCACAGCAGCCCCCACTGTTGATTTACCTACTCTGAATTGATTCCCAGCTGACAAGTAGCTGTCTGGCACTGCAAGTTTTCACAGGACTACTGCCACTTTCTTCTTAACTGTTGAGCTTCAGGGCACGGGAAAGCAATTCACATAGTTCAATGAAAGTGGCCTTATGCATGCAAAAGCTTTGTAGTCACTGGTCATCATCCCATAGCTACATAACTATGCAGTCCCACCAGTCTGTGCTTGTGTCACAGGACCAGAACCAGATTTCCACAGTATCAATAGGATCAACTGCCGTTAGCATATGCCAACTGAGCCACTCAATGATTTCATACATGTCTATCTTTGTGTCCTCCCTCCATTCTTCTTCACTCCAGCAGCTCCTGACTAGGTCTTGGACATACCATAGCATAATGCATGAGGTGTTTGCAAAGCTTCCCACAGCAGTTTGAAGCTGAGTGGAGTCCATGCTTGCCCTGCTATAATATCTGCACAGATAACCAGGAGAAAAAGGGCATGAAAAGATTGTTTGCTATTGCATTCAAGCATGAGATGAGGGAGAAGATGAGTGCATATGTGATACTGACAACATGTACCCAGAGCCACCTTCTGCAATGTTTTTGTTCTATCAAGCACTGGGAGCCTATCCTAGAATCCAAAGGGGCAGTAGGAACAGTGCACTATCCACACTGCATCACTGTCAAAGTCTAAGATAGCTACTCTATTGGGGGATGTACTCAGTCAACCTCAACACACAGATAGGACATGCATCTTTGACTTTACAAAATCAAGTACTGAGGAAAATCTCCCTTGCTGAAGAAAGCCTGGTTTCAGCTTGCTCTCTGGATCAGCTTCCCAAAGGAGGAGATCACTAAGCTCAGAAAGACTGATCAAAAGCCTGGCTGCATGAATACATGACCCAAATAGAAGGGCAGGATCTTGCTGACTATTCCTTGAATGACCCTGTTTTTGAATTCATAGTGTTCCTTTGGTTTTGGACTTTATTCCCCTAAAAGAGGTAGGACTTAAGTTTGTCTTAGCTGGAAGGCAAAAGCATCAATGCAGCACCTCCGAGAAGTGACATCTGACCACTGAAGACCCCATGACAGGGTGACTAGTGCTCCGAAGGACCATGAGGGGACCCTATGGGAGTGAGGCCCTCTTACATCTTCTTTCAAAAAAGTCTCACACACATAAAACCTCCTCTCTTTTTTGAGACAATATACTTACAGTTTAATTCTCTCTTCCACAAGTCCTGCATAGCTCTCACAACTTTCATCATCATCCCAGTCCCTCCAAAGGAAATCATAGAAAAACCTAAAAGATATATAGGCATTATGATACTGCCACCACATTCGTTCTTGCATGAGAAACAGGGGAAAAAAGCTTCCAAGTATTGTCTTACCAATCAATCTTGTCTATTTTTACTATGGTGACTGCAAATTGTGAAAAACATTTCACTTCAGAAAAAGCTGTACCACCACAAATCTTATTTACCCACAAGAAAAATCTGCTTAATTTCTGCAGTTTAAGTTCTCTCTTCACCTCACCAGTGGCCTTAAGTAAAATCTCAACTGCACTTCTATAAGTTCATCCATATGGTTGTTTTTGGCTATACAAAAGTTAAAATGTAGTTCACCTTCCAAAGCCTGAAGACTAAAAAAAAATGTAATGGCATTCTTTTCATGACGTGGAAAGGGAGGGTGCTGCTAGGAGGAACAGTTATATTGCAGCGTGATCACAAGAGGGTGGATGCACCACTGCCATCCCCAGCCCACCACAAAGGGAGCCCAAGCCACTGCCTCTTAAGCCACTACCTCTTCACCCTCAGCCCCAATCCCAGACAAGAGGAGGTGCAATGGGTGGACAGTGCAGTTCCTGTCTCCACCTGAGGGCCATCCTAGACAACTGGGCCAAAAACACCAGGTAAAGTGGCAAACTTAAAGCAGCAGGCAATAGAGATGTAAAACCTATTTCATTAGTTGACTGGTTAAACATTAAGTTTAACTGGCTAACAGATTAAATGGGGGTGGGCAGGCAGGGGCTGTTCCAGCCCACTGGGCTGAAGCGCCCCCCCCCCACTCACCACAGGGCTGCTCCAGCCCAACTGCTTCCGACCCTGCGCTGGGCTGCCAGCTCCCAGCCTGCAAGAGCTGGGATTTGGCAGCCTCGCATGGGACCAGAACAGGGATGGGCAATAGGGCCTCTGTGGGCCAGATCCAGCCTACCAAGTGAGTTGATCCAGCTTGCGGAGGCCCTGCCGCTCCTCCTGCCCCCAGGCCAATCAGGGCCTGGAGGCAGTGGGGAAGCACACGAAGTCTCCTCCCACCTTGCCTTGTCCTGCAAGGAGTGGGTAGTGCTTCTTAGCACCGTACATGCCTTGCAGCACAGGGGCAGGGTGGGAGGAGACTTCATGCACTCCCCCCCACCTCCAGTCCAATCAGGGTTTGGGAGCAGGGGGAGCACATGAAGTCTCCTCTGCCCTGCAAAGGGCGCAGCACTTAAAGTCAACTGCCAGCTGCTGCTCAGCTGGTGGTTGACTAAGCGCAGAGCTCCCTTGCAGGAGGAGGGCAGGGAGCAAGAGACTTCACATGCTCTCCCTCCACAGGCCCTGACTGACCTGGGGACAACATGCGAAGTCTCCTCCCACTGCCAGGGGCACAGATATCTAGAGGGAACCACCAGCTGTTCAGAACAGCTGGAGGTTCTCCTGGGGGGGAGGAGGGGAGAGCAAAGACTTTGCATGTTCCCTCAGTCCAATCAAGGTCTGGGGTGGGGAAGCACAGAAGTGTCCTGGCCCTGCTCCTTCTGGACAGCCCCGGGCCACTTAAAAAATTTCTGAAGTGGCTCCCGTTGAAAATTATTACCCACCCCGAACCAGAAGCTAGGGATGTTAACTAACATGTAATTATGTAAATGTATAACTGCTGTAAATTTTAGAAGTTACACATTTATATGCTGGGGGCAGAAGAGGAGAGAGCTGGTGCTCAGAGAGCTGGCTTTTAAGCTGGTTCCCTGTGAGAACTGGCTCCCACCTGCTGCCTCTGATAAAGAGACAGTAGGCCCAGGACATGTGGCTCTGCCGGCTTGAAAGCCGTTTTCCGTGTGTACTGGCTCCATCTGCCCCTTTGTGGGAGGCAGCAAGGGGTAGGCAGGCGACTTTGGGGAGCCAGCACATGCAGAGACCTCTGTCCCCCTTCAGCTCCCTCTGTGAGAGGCAGCAGCAGCGGGGGAGGGAGAGGCAAGAGCTGATAAGCATAGGGAGCTGGCTTCCTACAGGTACGGTCTTCCATGTGCCCACCCCTACCTTCTGCACTGCTGCCTATCAGAGGCAGCAGCACGAGGGGCAGGCAGCTCCACAGGAGCTGGTGCTCATGGGGAACCAATTTAAAAGCCAGTTCCCCACAGGAACCAAATCCCGCCTGCCTCCTTTGCTGCCTCTGACACAGAAGGCAGGGAACAAGGGGAGGGTGTGTATAGTCATTAAGATTAACCAACAAGCCCAGGCTTTTTGGTTAATCCTGTAAATGACTACATGCTGACATTCCTACCAGAAGTAGCAGCTGGGGAGAAGGGCTGCCAGCTCCCAACTCGCATGTCCTCCAGCTACTGCTTCCATCCCCCTAATGCAAGGCTCCCAACCCTTAGGGTACGTCTAGACGACATCCTTCTGTTGGCAGAGGGATGTTAATGAGGCACTTCGAAAGTGCAAATGAAGCAGGGATTTAAATATCCCGCGCTTCATTTGCATAATTGCATCATGGCACTCTTTCAAACAAGCGCCATTTTGAAAGTAAAACAGTGGTCTCCACCCACAATAGGCTTCAGGCAGGGGGCTGTTCCTAGGTAATAGTTAATCATTATCCAATAAACATCACCTGTTAAGGATGATGCTTACTAGGTAACTGGTTAACCAGTTACCCGTTCACATCTCTAGTAGGCAAGTCATGTCCATGGGTTTTTCCTAACATTGTAACTTACCAGCCTCTTGGGAACATTCCTGGACCTCGTACTTCCCAAACTCAGAAGAGAAGAATAAAAAGCTAAGGACTTCTGGTTTACTGTTTCCAAAATGCCTAGTCCTCCTACAGAATAGTCTCTAAGGTGCTACAGAACCACTTGTTTTTTACATTTTTTTTAAGTTACAGACTAACACTGCTACCCCTCTGAAACATTCCAACCAAGTTAAGGCTTTCCTGTCAGCTTGCCTTGTTGTAGAGCAGAATAGGTGGTGCTGTGCTGCTGTGTTTTCTCCTCAATAATGGCTTTCCCATACACTTTTTTTCCTCAAAAATCCTCTAAGGTCTGGTCTACACTACAGACTTTCATAAATATAACTGTGACACCACTCAGGAGTGTAAAAAAATCCATACCCCTAAGCAACACTGTTATACCTACCTAACCCCTGTTGCAGACAGCACTAAGTGGATGGAAGAGCTTCTCCCATCAACACAGCTTCCACCTCACATGGAAGAAGAGTTTCTCCTGCCAATGTAGTGTCGTCTTCACTAAAGTGCTACAATGGCACAGCTGCACCAGTATAGCTGTGCCATTGCAGCTTTTTAAATGTTGACCTGCCATAACCTACTGGGGCCACCAAGAAGAACAAAGAATTATGCTTAGAGCTAATTCCTAGGGGAAACTCCAGGTACTTTGAGCAGAAGTAAAAAACTGGAATGTTAGAGAGGCAATCAATTCCATGAACCATCTTGGTGACACTACATTGTAAAGTTAGAAAGAAATGGCAAAATATTTTCAAGATGAAATGACCCACTGAAAGAGTCTTTTCTGAAAACAGTTTCCATTTCTACACATTAACCTGTTCCAAAGAAAAACACGTTATCAGAAAATTCCTGACTTTCCTCAAGCTACAGTCCAGCAAGCCTTGAAAATGCCAAGCACATTAAAAAGGCTAACACCTTTAGAATAAAAAAAGCATAAGAGTTCAGGCAAAGAATCCGAATCTAGGTATCACTGAACCTCAGGTCCAGAAACTGTTCACTCTTGGACCAAATAAATCCAATGAACTTGCAAGGACTTTTTTGAGGCATTAACTGGACTTCATCAAAATACTTTTTCACTATTACCACTTTTTAAACTAAGTTTGTGAATACTCTTACACGATTAATTAAGCAAAATAAATCTTAATCTTTCTGTTTTAGGCACAGTCCCTCAGTTAACAGGTTAACATCTCTGAACTGCAAAAATACAGGGGAAATAGCTAAATACCTCACAACATCCAAAGCCTGAGCAATATCAAATACTACTTTATCCTGGCCCTCAACAGGGTAGACTTCCAGCAGAGGTACGCAATGGTCCAGTTCATCCAAAACATTATCAACTAGCTCTCTTGGAATATTTGCAATATTCGAAGAAAATGGTTCAGCAACAGATACAGAAGCTTTCAAGTGAGATGAGGTGTTCTGAGGTGGTTTGCAGGTTACCTAAGATATGACAAAAATATATAGTTACACAATTTTTAAAAATTGTCTATTGCTTTGTTAGCATGATCCTGCCACACAAAGTTCTTATTAATTTTCATGGGAGTGTCACCTGTAGAGACCATACTATAAAACTAAAAATAATTAGTGAAAATGACATCTTCCTTTAATTTTACCTTTAAATAATAGTATGAGTCTATGAAAAAAATTATTAGTTTGCTATAAAATAAGTAAACTGAAAATTGCATTTTTTTAAATCTAAACAATACAGTTAACTTTAGAAGCCAGTATTTAAAACTAAATGAAATGGCATGTTCTAGCAGTTCTAAGCAATAATTATTGAATTTGTTTATAAGAATGATTATTATACTTAAGACATAAGTTAAGGGTTGACTAAACAATATTATTAACCATTTCTAAATTAAATAAACTTTTTCCAGTAGTCTAACTGACAAGCCTTTCTTTACCTTTCAGGCTGAAATTTTCCAAATTTGGTCTGTGTGTGGAAAAAAGATTTTTTAAGTCTGAATAAAAGTTCTCAGAAGTAGCTGAACCAAAGAATGGAGGAAAGAAAGAAGAGAATTAAAAATTCATTTGTTTATGAATAATTCCAAGTATCTCAATGGCCTGGGCTACAAAACTGAAATCTGGAAAACTGACAATGTGGTTGATTGTGGAAAACTACAATTCAGAGATTTTAAATCATGGTAAATATACACACCCCTTTAAGGACCAAGGACTTGGGACAGTCAGCCCTGTTCCATTAGCCCTGTGCATGGCTGGCCAAAAAAAGGAGCCTCGCAGTAGCAGGCTAACTGTAATGGAGAGCACAAAACAGGCAGAGAGACCTGTGGAAAGTTCCAGCTGAGAGAACCTGCAAATGGCTACATAAGAAGAAGCAGGGAACTAGCCAAAGAAGCTCAAAAGTAGGGATGTTGGGGTACATCTACACTTACACCCTAGTTCGAACTAGGGATGCAAATGTAGGAGACCGAAATTATTAATGAAGCGTGGATTTAAATATTAGCATAATCTCGCCTGCACGCTATTCTGATTGCCAGCTGATTCAAACCAGGAGGTGATAGCATAATCTCGCCTGCACGCTATTCTGATTGCCAGCTGATTCAAACCAGGTGGTGACCTCTGGGCCACGTTAGTTCGAATCAAACCCCTTGGTTCAAACTAACATTACTCCTCAAAACCGGAGCGCACCTCCTGGTTCGAATCAGCTGGCGATTGGAATAGCACGTGGGCGAGATTATGCTAATGAAGTGCAGGATATTTAAATCCCCACTTCATTAACAATTTCGGTCACCTACATTTGCATCCCTAGTTTGAACTAGGGTACAAGTGTAGATGTACCCTTAGATAGCATGTAACTGAATAGTCATGTAACAGCATCAAATTTTAGCAGTTACACAACTGTTCAATAGTCCCCAGAGGCAGAGCTGGCAGCCAGTGTGCTCCCAGCCCCACTCCTGAGGAGCCTCCTGCCACCCCATGCTCCTGCCTCTCCATCAGGGATAGCAGCACAGGATGACAGGCGGGAGCCGGACCACGAGGGGAGCCCAGGCCTGCCACGTATAGAGGCTGCTTCAAGGCAGCCTCTCCTGCTGGTTCTGCAGAACCAATGCGTGGGGGAGCCAGCTTTTAAGTCAGCTCCTGCCTGCCCCCAGCTCTAAGTAGGGGAAGAGGTGGGTCTGCGGAGCCAACACACACGGAGAGCCGGCTTTTCCGGCTCCCTGTGTGTATCAGTTCGCACCTGATCCCCTCACCCTCTATGCTGCTGCTTCTCTATCTGATATGGGGGGAGGGGAGGGAATGCATATGGTCAACAGGATTAACCAATGAACCCAGGCTTATGTGTTAATTATATAGTTGCCTACATGCTGACATCCCTACTCAAAAAAAGCTGAGGGAAAGGACAAAAGGAGTCTGGGAAGAGCAAAAGCTGAGCCCAGAGTACGAGCAAAATGCTTGAGTCATCAGAGGAAAGACAGACCCTTCAGGAAGGACAAGCTCATCTCAGTTTGAAACTAGAACAAAGTTCTGTTTTGGACTTGTATACCTCAAAAGGGGTTGGACTTTTTGTTAGTGGCTTATCCAGAGATCAAATGGAAGAGGAAAAACTGAAGGCAACCTGCAATGCCACAAGCACTAAAAATGCAGCAGTGACCCCCACCAGACTAACTGAATGTGAGGCAAAAAAAAAGCTAACAAAATTATTGGATGTATAAACAGAACAAAGATATTACCTCAGTTTATGCTATTGACAAGACTATCACTGAAATGGTGTGTCTAGTTCTGAAAAAATTAGAGAGTTCAATGATAAGATAACAAATATTCAAGGTCTGGACTCTTACAAAGAAATTGAAACAGCTCAATCTATTTACCTTATGGAGCACCTTAATTATGATCTGTAAGTTATGTAACTACACAGGGATCTTAAAATCAAAGACTGGATGTCTTTCTAAAACATATGCCCTAATTCAATTATAAAATATTGGATTCTGTAGTGTTCATTTGCATACTGCAAAAAGTGAAGTTCTAAGGTTTGCGTTATCCAGATGGTGTTAGCCTAGAATACAGGCAGTCCCCGGGTTACGTACAAGATAGGGACTGTAGGTTTGTTCTTAAGTTGAATTTGTATGTAAGTCGGAACTGGTACATACTGTAGGGGAAACTTTAGCCAAACATTTCTCCAGAGCTCAGTTTTATTCTCCCACACACCACTTCCCTCAGTCCTTTATCCTCAAGCTGAGGTGTCTGCTGAGAAAAGCCACTCCGTGTCTCCCTGGTCTGCTGTGGGGGGGCGCTAGCTTCACGTTTCTCTGGTCTGCTGGGGGGAAGCAGCTAGTGCGGGGTTGCTTCACCCCGTTTGTAAGTAGGGATCCAATGTAAGTCGGATCCATGTAACCCGGGGACTGCCTGTATATCAAAGTGGTCCCTTCAGCCTTAGAAATCTTTCAATCTAGATTCCAATTTAGAAGTGAGGCCTCATATATAGTCTTTCCCAAGTCCTAAAAAAAGGTGTAAAGCTAAAATTGAAGATTAATAGCAGCAGATGGGTTTAGCCCAGAAAGGAAGAGGGGTAACCCTGAGTATGTTTGGTGGTTTTGCTCTTGGACTCATCCAAAAGACCTTCTAAACATCAGATGTGCAGATTTTTTTCTTTTTTTTGCTTATAGTATTTAAATGATGCTCCATCATCAAAAGCTATAATTGTATCAATTCAGTCAATTATGAAGAACTCAAATTAACCATGTCCTTTTAGAAGATATCCAACCTGCTTGGTGAACATTAAGGCTGTGTCTAGACTACATCCCTTTTCTCGAAAAAGGGATGTAAATTAGACACTTCAAAATTGCAAATGAAGCCGGAATTTGAATTTCCTGCGCTTTATTTACATAATGGCGGCCGCAGCTTTTTTTTTTTTTTTCCTTCCAAAAAACCACTTTGAGAAAGGAAAGAAAAACACAGTCAAGACAGGGATCTTTCAACAGAAATGTCCCGTTTCGAAAGATCCTTTAAACCTCATTTTTTTTAAAAAGCCGCGGCTGCCATTATGTAAATGAAGTGTGGGAAATTCAAATCCCGGCTTCATTTACAATTTCGATATGTCTAATTTACATCCCTTTATCGAAAAAGGGATGTAGTTTAGACATAAGGTAAAGGTACAGCTACACGGGGGGGGGGAGATTTCTGAAGAAGGTATGCAAATTGCGTTCGCATTTGCATATCTTCTTCTGATTCTTTTTCCGGAAGAGGATTTTCTGATATTTGGCCTGTCTACACTGGGCCAAACGTTGGAAAAAAATCCTCTTTCAGAAGCCCCCAGTACACCTCGTTTTATGAAGAATAAGAAGACTTCCAAAAGAGGGTTTTTTTTCCGACATTTGGCCCCGTGTAGATGGGCCAAATATTGGAAAATCCTCTTCCGGAAAAAGAATTGGAAGAAGATATGCAAATGTGAGCACGATTTGCATACCTTCAAAAAAAAAAAAAAACCACAGTTTAGCCGTACCCTCAGTGAAATGGGAATCTTGTGGGGGAAAATATAGCGTGTAATCACATCATTACAGACTACTGTAATGTTTACAAGAGCAGAAGTTAAGATTGTGAAGGCAACCTTCATTTTGGCACTTCCAGACTCAAGAATGCTTTGTTTTTAACATTAACTTTGGTATTTTTTTAAAGCTACAAGAAGAGCAAATTCAGGAAATCTGTGTGGACCAAAGCATCTCAAGTCCACTTTCTGTCCATCTTTTCCACCACTGGTCCACAAGGATCCCATGCCGCAGGTAAATACCAACAGTTACCTCTCAAAAAGCTGGTTATGAGACTCCCATCCAAGCTTCCCTAATGAAATAATGATTGATCAGTTAAAATACGTAACTATCTTCTCTACAAATCTCAGAAATAAAGAATGGTAGAGGACACTACACTGACTACCACAGCTCAAAAAATGCCCTCTTCCAGGGCCAGATTAAGGCATGGGCTAGCCGGGCAGCTGCCTGGGGTGCCAACCTATGAGGGACGCCTGATGGCAGCTGTAAGGGGCACGCAGCGCCCCTTATAGCTGCCATCAGGCGCCGTGCCCCTAGCCCCCAGATCGCGGGCTACAACAGCTCCCAGTGGCTCCCCTGCAGCAGCCGCCCGCAGTGGGGGCCGTGTTAACCCCCGCAGCACCAGCCAGCAGTGTCCTTCCCCCCACTGCCCCGTGCTGCGCACCAACGGCAATAGCCAGGCTAGGTTGGGCCGGGCACGTGCGTCCTGCCGCCGCCAGCTCGGTGCGCCCTCCCCCACGTGCCGGGCGGGGCCAGGCATGCGCCCTCCCCCAACCCAGGGCGCAATTAAACTGTCTGCTTGGGGCACTGGAATGGCTCGGTCCGGCCCTGTCCTCTTCCACACTTGAAAAGTTTAGTGAGTGCATCTAGTTCCAAAAGTATGAAGGACGTGAATAGTGAAATACCCATGACTATATTGAGATCTGAAAACACAGGTGTCTGAAAACTTCCTAGAAACATTTGAAAAAATTCCATAAGTAACGTGCAAGATGCTATGAACCTTGCTTATTTTTCTATTAAACTTTAAAAACATTGTTTTATTTTAATGACAACTAACTAGAATGAAAAAATAAAAAGGAAAATTACTTCAACAAGTATTCCAACAAAAGGTATTGGGATATCTTCAGAACTGATGAAGAAAAGTTCTGGATTGGTCTTCCAAACTCCAAACCATTTTTCTTTCATTTTCAGTTTTTCCAAAAGGTATTTACTCATTGCTTCATTGGCATCTTCTGCCTATTATATGAACAAAGAGAAAAAAAATCTCACTGATCTTAAGGGCACTACACTTTTAATTTAAAATAAATTCATAACTTCACATTAATAAAATAATGTGATACATCACTCTGAGGGCAGAAAATAAAAAGGATACATTTTTCTTTCATTTTCAGTTTTTCCAAAAGGTATTTACTCATTGCTTCATTGGCATCTTCTGCCTATTATATGAACAAAGAGAAAAAAAATCTCACTGATCTTAAGGGCACTACACTTTTAATTTAAAATAAATTCATAACTTCACATTAATAAAATAATGTGATACATCACTCTGAGGGCAGAAAATAAAAAGGATACAATAGGGAAGAAGAAGAAGAAGGAAAGAAAATAATGG